TCGATTGGGTTCATGTCCGGTGAACATGCCGGCCATGGTAAAACGTGAATGTTGGCGTTTGCTAGGAAGTTCTGGGTCAGCCTTGCCGTGTGAGGCCTCGCATTATCGTGCTGGAAAATGATAACATTAGGCTGAATTGGATGAATGGCACCACAACTGGTTGTAAGATGTCATCACGATAACGCTGGGCATTCAGGTTTCCTCGAATAACGACGAGTCTCGTTTTGACATCACCACAGATTCCACCCCAAACCATGGCCTGACTTGATGGATGCAGTTTGGTGCCAAACGTTCACCTACTCTTCGGTACACACGCTGCTAGACGTCGTCCCTGAAGATGCAAAATCTGCTTTCGTCAGACGTGCCCAGTTCCACCGTTGCCACCGTCGAAGTCGCCTGGCCCATATCCGTCTGTTGAGTCGGTGTTGAGGTGTCAGGAACGCTCCGCGGTAGGGGCGACGTGCTTGGATACCATGTGCCCGCAGTCTCCTGTACACGGTTTGTCGACTAATCACTTGTCCCAGTGCCGTCTGTGCCGTCCGTGCCGTTACGTAGCGGTTCCGAAGGTGAAGTACCCGGATGTGGCGGTCTTCAATAGGCATGGTCACCCGTGGTCTCCCGGTTCTCGGCCTGTCTGCTGGCCGACCTGTTTGACGCAACCGCTGCATTAACCTGGTGACGGTTATGCACGCGCATCCTAACCTTCTGGCGACATCGCGGTGCGTTAGCTCCCTGTTGGAGCATTCCTACGGCTCTCTCTCTCTCAATCGCTGTCGAACGTGGCATTTCTTTTGTGTGCTTTTTGTTGCTGTGATCCCAACGTGTCGGGTCAGCAGTTTTATACAGAAGATATGCACGTGCATTTCGTGTTACGGGACGGAAGTCATTTGGGCAAATTTCACGCTTTTTTTCTCAATTGATCAAATGTTCCCGGTTTTTTCGACCGAATACGTTTGGTTTGGAACATAGGATAGGCAAAAGTACCTTTTCAGATGAAAATTAACTCTTCATAATAAAATATTTAGAAAAATGTATGGTATCGTTTCTTTTGGACATTAGTTTACATACAACTTTCATTACTGGTTCTGGGTATGCTTGGTTAAGCCCTATAGAATATACAAAAAAACAAACAAAAAATAGAATATACAAAGAAACAAACAAAAAATGTGCACAAGAAGATCAAAATAGCTGCTCCCCCTCAAAATGGACAGTCAGCTGATACTGTGGACTCAATCTCAAGACACATATAGGTATATAAGGAAAAGAATTTATGGTCATCAACTTCTTTATTATGAGGAACACAATGTTCAGGAGTAAATACTATCTCTATGAAGCAGAGAACATATATATTTTCCTTTAGTCTTCCTTTAGAAGACAAAAATATAATTTTAACATGTTCTATGTAGCTATGACAAATGCATTCCTAGTGACATTTGTGGGAAAAGACAACTGAACCCAACCCCAAACAATGCCTATATATAAAGCATATCCCCAATACTTTTAGAAAAGAATGTTATAGTGCCCAATAACACCCTTCTGGTGAGTTTAAAGGGACAGGTTGGCAACCGTTCTGAAGCTTTGATTGTAAACAATAGCCGATAACCCCCGAGCTTACTCAGCTCTGCTCGCTTTATTCCGTTTCTGCTCCAGTGACCACACCGCTAGAGTAGGCTTATCACGTGACCAGACTTTTCTCATTTGTAAACAAATGCACATATTCTGAAATATGAACAGACGGGCACAATGCATGCCTTTCGGTGCACTTTACATATAGGTTTTGTCTAATTATATTAATTTACTACTACAACTGCGAGAGTGAGGTGCAGGACAATATCACTTTCACCCATCAGATTGACTGTATAGCCCTCAGTAGGGCTTCCATGACAGGACGTGTAGGATACATACGAAAATGGAAATAGTTTTTCATGTTTTAGGATATTTCCTCAATAAAAGTTAAACGTGTTATGATGAATGTTTATCTAAATTTGTAGACTCATCTGAATGAAAACAAAGAAAAACACATGACTGGACTGTGTAAGATGTGACAGAGGTTCTCGGCTCTATTACACATCACTGCCATAATTCTTGTACTTTTGCTATAATCACACCAAACCTAATCGTCAAAATTCAACAGTGAGTGAGTATGGTTTTACGCCGCAATACGTTTTATGCAATATTCCAGCAATATCACGGTTGGGGACACCAGAAATGGGCTTCACACATTGTACCCATGTCGGGAATCGAACCCGGGTCTTCTGCGTGACGAGGGAACGCTTTAACCACTAGGCTACCCGACCGCCCCCAAAATTCAACAGAAGTCCTCTTCACTGTCAATCACATACAACTAGTTGTCAAGATAATAGTTCCACCATGTGGGATCCAGCTCTTCAGTTTGTTAAGGCAGGAAAACCTCACTTCTTGCCTGTGTGTGCTAGAGTCAAGATAAGATTTACAAATGAGTCTATTCTCTAGCACTTAGGTCATGTAGTCACTAGTAGGGGTGACTATTGGTGTGGAAATCACTCTTGCGATAACTATTGATATTGAAAGAACTTATAGCTATTGCGATAACTATTGATATTGCAAGCAACTATAGGATAAGTATCAATAGTTTTCAGTGTATGATTTTAGATGGATTTTAGAGTTGAATTAAACCTTGGAACTGAAGTTTCCTTTGAATGTGATAACCATAAAAACAAATAAAAAGTAAAGTTTGAGATATTGAGACAGATTTATTTTTTCTTTACACTAATAATTTAAGAAAAAGAAACTTCCACATTACCATGTGTAAATTACTACCACTCATGATCAAAAGAAACAAATTTGAACAGCATTGCATGTATTTTATTGATATGGTAAATACAATCGAAACTATCGATATTCCTAACTGAATCAATACTATTGATCGGAAACCAATTTAACAATCAATTTATTGATTTTAAGTGCTTACCAATAGCAATATCTCGATATTTTGATTTATCATGACACCCCTAGTGACTAGATAACTAAAATTCAGTTATTAGTTATTTTCTACTGTTCATCTATTCAACACTTAAGAAGGGCCTTTTGGTAAGGGACCACATCAAAAGTTCAATGTCAGATAAAAAACTTTAGTGGCCTTTTTCATGACACATTCTTGTGTTTTTTGCTGTTTTTTCTCTGCACAGCAAATTTTGATGAGTGGATCACCCGTACTCCTTCATCAATGTAGTGAAAATGTTCAGTAGTGGAACAGCAGTCATGGTGAATACATCATTTTTAGTTATATAACTGAGAGCACATATTTTTCTTTATCTTGCGCTGTCGTGGTGCACCTAATGGTACCTAAACGGTTAGGCTGACTGTCAATATAACCACTTCTGGATGACGGTGATCTCTGCATCCTTACTGGTTATGGTGGCAGAAACCGTGCTCTTACATGAATTCTGTGCAGATCATGTGTTGATAATGGATGATGACCAATTACTCGTAGAATATGTACAGGGTCCATATGGTGGCCGGGATAACACAGAAACAGATGATGATTTGCTGCCCTAAGAATCCATGCAGGGTCCATGTAGTGGCCGGGATAACACAGAAACAGATGATGATTTGCTGCCCTAAGAATCCATGCAGGGTCCATGTAGTGGCCGGGATAACACAGAAACAGATGATGATTTGCTGCCCTAAGAATCTGTGCAGGATCCATGTGGTGGTTGGGATGATCCCTTAACAGATGGTATGTTCCATGAGACTGCGGCCTCTTGGTTGGAGATACTTCTGAGGATAATCTTCTCTGCATTGTTTCAGCTGCTCAAGCTCGGTTGAAAATGCAGACTGGCGTGATTCAAAGAGGGACTCCATGGCTGACTTTTGATTGACTCAGGCAGGGAAGGAGTCTTAAGTATCACAGGGTAGGCCGTGGATCTATGATAGGTATGGTCTGGAGAGAAGATAAAGACATAATTGTGTCTATTTCTTTTGTCACCGTTTCCTTTCGATTTGCTTTCTTAATGGAGTCCAATTAGTTTTTAGAAGGCCGACTTGGTGAGAAAAGTACACTGATCACATCTGTATTCCTCCATACAAACAGCATCTCAGCACTTTCAGCAAGAGTGTACAGAGCTCCAGATATCATGAATTGACCGCACTTCCTGCAAATGGTGGGGGAGGCTGAGGACGCCATGACGGGATCACAACAAACCTCCCAACCCGTTATTTACATGATAACTTGTAACTAACCTACTGAAGACGACTTAATTAGTAGAATCATTATGTAACTAACTATCGGAAAACACTGAAACTAGTGTGAAAACTTCATAGCGCTGGAAAAAGAACGAGACTTAAAAAGTTGATATTCACTCTAACACACAGAGTAAAGAGGTTGGGACACTGAAGAGCTGTAATTGCTCGGTGCTATTGCAGGTATGACTAGTCGTGTACAGTTGACATTGAAGAGGTCTTGTGTTGAAAGTCTTAAGATATTAGTTTTAGTGTGATTGCAGCCAAAATACAGGATTATGGCAATGATATAACAGAGGAAGAGTATTCGCAAGAATTATTTTACCTTTTTAGTGTTGCGACATCACACCGAATGTGTGCTGCCAAAAGCACTCGATCATAGTCACATCTAATTTATATGAAGTGTTTATATTTGTATTTCCTTCACATTTTGTCATGCCACCACTGGGGAGAGACATTCTTCCTTGAGAGACAGACTGATATAGATCTTTTACAGAAAATAAACTTTTTTAAACCATCCTCATGTGTCCATTTCATGTGACCTTGGCCAAGTGACAAAGAGAGGGGTCAGGTCTCACCCTTAGCCTTAACTTAGGGTTAATTTCAACCAATCTGTTGCTGGTATAGACAATCGCTTATGGTTGGAGGCAAGCCAAAAGTTACAGTTACAGTTGTTATCCAAAGTGTTCGATTGTGGCATAGACTGCATGAAATATGTGTTGAACTTGATTAATGTAACTAGCCTGATTTGTGCTAGATTTGCATAAGAGGGTACATACCACTGATTTTAACATCAGGTTCTGGAGGTTGTTGAATTTTACTGAAAGAAACCAAAGACATGTTATTTGTCAGTAGCAGATGAGTAGTATAGGTAATGGGGGTTCTTCCGCAAACCCCCTGGAGCTAGATTTATATACCTATACTGCTACTACAGATGGAATTATTTATGCAAAAATGATGATGCAATTCAACAATCGTCATGAGATTAAAATAAATTGTAATGAAAATATTCTTCTATTATTTTTACTCATACACATACCATTATTTTGAACAAAGTGATATTCAACATTTTCACTTAGTTCTTCGTTCATTTTACAAGGAGACCAGACTATATACTCTTCTTGGTAATTGGAAAGAAACAATTGATGACCGTATTTGGTTAGTTTGACATCATTGATCATTCTCTCCATTTGATATTTTGTCCCTGAGCATAAATGCTTCAATAGCTTTTTCGAGTTCTTCCTTTATTGGTTTGTAATTCTCCATTATTATATATTTATGTAAGCATTCCTTTAAATGAATGTATGATTTTTTATGCGGTGCGATCCAACGATAGGAAGCAATCTATTTTTAATCTCCAACCAGTTCTTTGGTTTTGGCACAGAATAATTGACGCGCTTGTTGTCTCCCCTGTTCTATGAACTTTTTTTCTCGTCTTAGCTAATACCACTGGTCTTACGATAATTTGATCGAATCTCCTGCTTCATTGCGTTATATTTGGTGAGTTCTGACAACACTAAACTAAACTCATCCTCGAGCGCCGGATATAAACTCATAGTGTAATAGTATATAATATAATAGTCTTTAATTGGTCTTGCTTCAATGTTTTGAGAGTATACATCAACCTTATTAAATGTATATCATACGGCATAAATATCTTAGTAAGAGAAATGCTATCACCTTTAATAATTTGGACCCCCTTAAGGGTTGCAACGGGTGATGCTCCTACATAAATAATACTGCAACGTTGACGCTCGTGTTGCTTGAGCCATTTAATTGATAGACCTGGTAATACCTGGAAGGCATCTTCCGATGCATCTCCAAACAAGACTTCAATAATGATTGTAGAATGATCGGATATATCCTTCAAGTTATCTTTAATATCATTGAATTCAGTAACCCAATTTAAACTAACATTTTTTGATGCCGGACGACTCAATAACATATGACCTGGGTTTTCTGGCAGGGGAGAGACTAACACACTTTTTCGTTTTGATGGGATATAAGCCCCGAGTACGATCCCACTATTCATTATCTTAGTTAATTGATGTCCCTCACCCATCATCACATATGGTGGGGTAATGACGATATTCAGTCCTTTAAGTGATCTGGTCGTGCTGTAGTGTTCGTTCATTCATGAACAACACCTCCCGAAACAGCGCCACAAAATACGCTTCAAAGGGGACACCGATGGCACAACCGGATCATCCCAAGTAAGTCTAGATATCTGTCAAGATAGTTTAAACAGACTTCATTTCACCACGCTTATCCTTTTACGTTAAATCAAATTGAAAGTTGCGAAAATGGTCGGGTGCGTCACGCTCAAGGGACGCGCTCGATCGGCAGTCGTATCGTACATTGTAAATCGATTTATAGATCTAGCTCAATTATATGTCTGTAGGAGCTCTATGCATAACTTATATAGAATGCAAACCGAATTTGATGCGTGTGACTATCTTGTTTGGTTTAATAAAGTGTTTGTAAATATCTCTCGTTCTCATGAATTTCTTCAGTTCTGCCTTGTAATCGCAAAATGAATGACGTCTCGCGATTTTTTATGAATGAAAACAGTAGTCCCGGTGTGACAGAGGTCACGGTTATCCAATCAAAATGAATAAAACAAGGTCAACCTTGTACGACACACGTGTGACGTACGGATTTAGTATCTTACCACCTGTATCTTCACCACGTGGGTAATAATTATAATATCTTCTCCAATGACTAAAATCAGCATCCCATTCAACTCATTTTGTGTGAGACTAGCTCCCAAAGGCTTAAAAATATCATCATTGAGTGAGCATACGCTGTAATACCCATCAGATCACAGAATATATGGATTAAGAATGAACAAGACATCAATATCCCCCTTAAATACAAAGAGATGGATCGATAAGGATGGTGTAACTACCTATGCTTATGGTTATGGTGGTAATACTGTATCGTTGGGAACTATGAGCAACTCTTCTCGTACAAATGCCCTGCCTGGTCCATCTTTAAGATAATAAAGAATAGGCTCTCCTTCTTTCGTAACCAACCAACTTATGTTATATATCTAAAGGGACCAAATCGTAATCGGTTGCACGACGTAGGCCCCCCTCCAGTTCACCGGGCTGGTATAAATATCTTACGCTTACTCTATCCGGGAGTTTTTATTCTTTGCCTCTCCTCGGTGCTGAAGATTCGGAAGTCACAGGTTTCATTTTAATCGCATCGGATGGTTTCTTCCCGATTAATCTCGTTACTTCATTATTCAGCACTGTTACAACAGCTGATAATCGTGTCACCCATTCAGTTGATCTTAATCAATCTGATTTCATTTCAATCCCATACTGATAGCCATGCAAACAAACGTTTCGCTAATGTCCGGTTAAATCTTTCAACGATAGCTTGACTACGGTGGGCCTCTTTTTCACCACGCCTGATGTCAACATCTTGCTTTGTTAACAGTTTAGTTACTGATCCCATAAACTCATGACCGGGATCTACTTGAAATAGCTTAGGCCATTTTAGTGGTCCGCGTTTATATATGCGTTTATATTAGCTACTTCTGTTGAATCTTTCGAGGTTTATGGCTCAGCCTCTTTGTATCGACTAGCCACATCCACTACGGTTAAAGCGTATTTATCTATTTTGCGTCTTACCTCATCATGGGGAAGAAACAAGAGGTCAGCCTGATGAACTTCATTCGTTGTAAAAATATCAAACTTCTTCCTCAGTATATAACGCGGTGCTGGTAAGTATATTTGCCACATCGCTTGTTTCTTTAACCAATCCTTGGCCACATCTGTAGATACCTTAGCTGCGTTGGCTAATTTTTGTATTGCTCCTTATACCTTTCCAATATCCTCATGGGCTATAGTAAATTTTATCCATTATTAATTAATATTGATGATTCTTTTAATACGATTCATGACGATCGTTGAATTGCATGATCATTTTTGCATAAAAAATTCCATCTGTAGTAGCAGTATAGGTATATAAATCTAGCTCCAGTGGTGTTGCGGCAGAACCCCAATTACCTAAACTACTAGATGTATTGCGTGCATGATTTCACATGTATAACCAGGAATACTTTGTGCAAATGTTAATATGTGTTATGGCCCTCATGAATTGGTGCTGGACTTGCTGAATATTAGCAAACATGTGACCTGTTTAGAAACTGAATTTGTCTTAATTATAATCTGGAAACCAATTTGATAGTTACCGAAGCCTCATGAACACATGGTTGGCCATCAAATTTGAGCAAACTTGCAATGTTTGTTCAAGGTATCATCTGAAAGAACTGTTTCAGTCATTATCAAGTAAGCTCTGGCATATTAGTGATGACTTTTAGGAGCATTTCTGTCTAAGGTGAACATCATTTGATGAATACTTACAAATAGATGCCATTTTCTTCACGCAACATTTGACAGATGTGGTCCACAGTGAAGTCAAATCTTTCTTTGCTGATCTTCACCAAGTGTCGTCTCATAGTCACTATCTATAAAGGTGTATAAGAGGTTCAAGATGTATATTGTTCGGCTGACTCAGTAACCAATTTATGAATCTTATAGAATTATTTATACAAAAAGTATAGATAATTTTTCAAAGGATTTTCTTCAACCATGCTTTCATGACAACAAACTGTATACATATCAAAAAGTAAAGGAAACCAAGTAATGTTTTGGTTTTCTGTACAATTGTATTGTATTGAACATAATATTCATTTCAGTTTGCAGAATAGCACACTCCTCCAGGAAATGGTATTTAGAAATTATTTATACATTGTGATAATACAAAGTCAGGATGTTAGCAAACATCCAATTAACTACACATTTCCCAATCTGGCTTCGAAAAATAAAATAAAATAGTGCCATGGCACTGCAAGTGAACTTGATGTGTAGACAACAGTTTAAAATGTCAACAAAGACAACCATGTCCCTCAGTAGGTTCATATATTCAATCAATAATGGTTACAAGAACTTGACATTCAATATCGCTGATTGCCAGCTAGCACATGGAATACATCACACATGAAGCAAGTGAAGCAAAACCGATTTACCTCCCCTAGACTGCTACATGCCTGCATAGCAAATACACAACACCCTTCCTTCCTTTAATTGTATGTTCTGTTTTTCAGATTTCACACAATAACACACATTCTCAGTACCTTTTTGTGTTTAACTTAATGTAACTATCTTAGCCATAATAAAATAATCTATCTGAAACTTCTCAAATAATTCACTGTATGTACCCACTCAACACCTGAGTAATTCAAATCACATGCTATCTATCAGTCTCTCAGGCTGTCGACTAACTCTTGCTGACCATCTCAGTGGAGTGTCTCCTTTCACTGAGGGTGGTGACCCTGGTGGTTATTATTAGGAATGACACCTCATTCGTCAGGAGTGCAAAGATTCCCTGGACGGAGCCAACTGTCCAGCGACGACCGATAAGACATTGAGATCAACTAGACCTGCATTGAACGGACCCCCATTGCCAAATGTGCAAATAGCCACTCCTATGCTACTTGAAGCAGGTAATGCGGATGATATACAAAGGGTTCTCCCGTGAGTTGGTACAGGAGCCAACATCGAAGAGCCCCAACATGTAGTGTTGCCTGTTCTGTTGATGCTAACTATATCTAGCCAACTCAGCAACATCCTGGATATGCTGGGCAAGAGGATGGCTAAAGAAAACTTCTCAGAACTTAACAGGCATGCAGGGGGAAAGTACACTTAATTCCGGGGTAACGGCGTCGGTGGTGGCTAGAAATCCGGACGTGTTGTCTTTCAGCAGTGCAGACTCGGGAGTTTCCCGTGACATCACACCACGCGCAGGGTCAGGTGCAGGGTCAACCAATCTTGGAACAGGGGGTTCCCTGAACTTCCAGGCTGATGCTCAGTGCTCACGTCCATCAAGTTGTACAAGAGAAAGTATGGAGAGGTGAGTTTGTGGATTTGACTTTATTGTTGTCAAGCGCACAGTCGCATGATGATTATGATGCATTTGAGATGGAGATGGATTCATCGGGTAATCTGCGGTTCTCGCTTGCCAAGTAGGGTAACGCCAGGGCACTTAACATAGGTCAATGGACATGAGCTTTTCACATTTATATGAGTAAATACGTGGTAAAACATTCTTCTCAGCCTACCATTTAGGGCATGTTGGCATACATGGAAACAATCCGTAATGCCGCCGCCTGCTCCAGGCTGGTCCCCAGGATAAGAGGTACCTTAGAAGGGAAGTCGGTAGTGGGCACCACAAGAATGAGTGCGAGTACCTCCACTTCTTGACCCATGAAGTCAGGGGGTATAGCAATAGTAGCCTCAACATACCTCCATGCACCTCCAGTAATGAGCTGATTTGGTTGAGTGTCAAGTGAGGGAGGTAGGCTCTGTAGAAGCTTTCAGAGATAGATACTGGCCAATCCTTCAAAGGCGTGCTCCTCAGCCTTCACATGTGCATTGTTTGGGTTCCCAACTACATTGGAAAGCACCTTTTGTTGAGAGCTTTTGTTAGAGTCCTCAGTTCACTCCATAACTGGGACTCTTAGAAGTTTAAATCAGGGCAATGCTGGTGACCCCTTTTAAGCCCTGGCCTTCCACAATCAATACAGAACTGATGATTGTTGTGGGGGAGGGGGTTTATCACCAACCTGCTTTATTAAAGTTTTATTTGTTTCGGCACCTTTGAAGGGAGCTTGGCCTTGACTCCTGGTGGGTGGTTTGTAAGAGGAGGCTTGAGCAGACCTGAGCTCAAGAGAGTGAACTTTATCCCTGATAGACTTAAGGTCTTAAAGCCTAGAGAGCACATCCTCCATCTCACGACCACATGGTACAGGAGTGGTAACGGGACACTGATGTGCCTCCTTAGGGGTAAGCAGTTCCTCCTCCACCCCATGTACAGCAAGCAGCAGTTTGCTGTACTCGAGACCAGAGTCAAAGTGATGACGAGTTGCCTGCTTCAAAGCATCCTGGGCCAACCCCATCCAGAAATGGCTTCGAAGCAAGGTCATGGCAGCATTTGGTGAGAGCATTCCTGAGACTTTGATCTTTGAGATCAAGTCACGAAGTCTACAACTCCAAGCTGGCGCATACTCGTTTATTTCCTGGCGAGCTGTGTAAAAGCGCTCCATGAGCTCCCAGTATTTCAGGAATTGACTAGGCTGAGCAGTTGGAGTGTACCCAGGTATAGAATGCCCATGGGTAAATGTCTGTTCAAATGGTGCCCCAGTCGGACGTGTAACAACATGCAACTTCTGTGAGTAACAGGTTGATGAACCCTGGGGTTGGTTATAGCTGAAGAGTGACCCGTAGGGCCTAGGCAAAGTTTTAAGCAATTCTATCCTAGGACTAGGGCCTTGTGGGGGTATTGTCTGCTGGGGAGGCTTCATTGGTATGTGTGACCATACATCATGCAACAAAGGAGACCCCAGAGGTGAATATGCTAGCAGTGATGATAGCCCAGGTGTGTGTATGGAGGGGCAACAACCCATTGGCTATCCACGGGAGGTGGAGGCACATGAGGCCGTAACAAGGTATCTCCAGACCCAACATCAGCTTTATAAGTGGTCTGAGGTGGATGTGGATTAGCGTCATCTGCTAGACGGGAGATTATACTAGTACGGACTAAGAGAGTGAACTTTATCCCCGATAGATGACAGTGCATCCGGAACTTGTGTATCCTTGCCTGGTCTACATTAGATCATAAAATCAAAATTCTTCAGAGCATCCCTCCACCTTGCAAATTTACCTCTTGGCTCCTTCAGACTGAGAAGATATGTCAGTGGCTTGTGGTCTGTTATAACCGTAAACTGGTTTCCCTCAAGGTAAACAGCAAATTTGTCCAGCACCCACACAATGGCAAGACACTCTTTCTCAGTAGCGGAATAGTTCTTTTCAACTCCTGTCAGTGCTCTTGACGCATACTCTACCACCCTCCCATCTTGCGTGAGGATGGCCCCTAAGTCGACATCACTCGCATCAGTCTCAACCACAAACTTCTTGGTAAAATCAGGATCAACCAAAATAGGAGCTGACAACAGTTTCTCTTTTAGGTTCACAAAAGATGACTCACATTCATTTGTCCACTTAAATACAATGGTTTTTTGTGTCAAATCTGTCAGAGGCTTCACAATGTCAGCAAATCCATGAATGAATCTTCTACTTGGCCTGATGATCCCCCGTTGTAAGCCATCATCCACAAACTCAGAAATCTTTTTCAACGCATCATGTGACACTCAACGAGGTTTATGAGACACAGGTGCTGCATTTCCAGTTGGTATTGAATGTTTAATCAGGGTTGTGTTGCCTGTTTCACCTTCCATTGAAAAAAAGTCGCCATTATCTTGTATTACCTTGTAGATGTGCTTTTTATCATTTTCAGCTACATGATAATTATTTGACAATGTTCGAGCCATCTCGTCAACCTTCATACTTCTGTTTGCCTCCTTGTCGCTGTTGATTTGAAGACTTGCAATAACAGGTGAATCATCAGAAGTGGGTGAAAATGTTGCAACCACCGATCCAGCAGTTAACTCTGTTGTGGTATTGTAGGGGTTGGTAAGGTGAAGTAGCACTTTGTTGTTGTTTCGCACTGTATTGAGTACTCGACCACACCCTATTCCAAAACTTTCACATCCAAAAATGCCTGCTGACTCTAGCACTCCTGTTATACCTGGTGAGACCGAGGATGAAACAGTTCCATGTACAATATTCATACTTCTGGGTGGCACTTTAACTGAATGTTCCACGTTCACATGACACACACTGACTGTTGGTGAGACACTGAAGCATGAGTATTACTCATACAGAATCATACAGAATGTCAATTTCCATACTAAATTTCATATCCAGTTGTGAGAATAAGTCCATCCCAATTATAGCTGGATACATTGAATTCTTTACCACAGTGAAACAGTGTTCTTAAATTTTCTGTTTTTCCACCTTGCATGATGTAACTATATCCCATGCAGTTCCCATATCAGCCCCTGACACAGTATTAGGTACTAACAATGGAGGAAGACTCAAGTTGCCGGTAAACTCAAACAATGTTTACTTGTTAAGATCAAAACAATAACTCTGGTATCACTGTCATGACATCATCACAAGACTCACACAACCATTCCAAACTATGTTAACATTGCGTTCTATTTATAGAAATACTTCCGGGTTTAGAGTTACCTCCCTTACATCAATATCATGCTTAGTGTTTGAAAAATTCATCACCTTTTTGCAATGGTGTGTTCAGCAAAAGTTGTCTAACCGGCAAGCTAATGCATGACCTCAATGATTTTCTCACTGGGGGAATTGCAGGGACGAAGAGTGTGGTGACAAGCTTGATACATGCTTCTGTACTTTCAAGGAGCTGCTCGTTCAAGTGGCACATGAGAAGACAGTAGGTCCTGCGTCTTGCTTAACATTCCTACGTCTTGAAACCGACACAGACAGGATGCAGGTCAGAATACCCCAGGAAAAGATTGTAAATATCACCATGATCATACATAATATGCTGTTAAGCTTAACTTCATGTGCCCAGCAATACCCATGGGTAGACCATTTGGCCACAGACTGATTGATGCCTATGCCAAGGTAAGTCATCAAGCACACCATGTTCACATCGCGCAGGGAGTTCGGGAGGACATAGAGGTTTGCATGGCTAGGGTTCTTTGGGGGATTTAACGGTGTCAGTTTTTCAGAATCAAAAGTGGGCTGACAATACATAGCTGCAGCGGTTCACTGACGCAGCCAGCACAATAACAGGCATACTTTAACAGGAACTGGGCAACAGTCTCTGGCCCCGGAGTGGGTGAGGGATTGCTCAACTCGAGCTCGTGACATGACACTGCTGAAGCTGTTTCCGATTGTGCTGTCAGTTTGTCTGTGGGGCACAGCCTTTGTAACAGGAAAGTACTTTTCTTTTGTGGTAACCAAGCTGTAGTGTCAATCATCAATAAACCATCTTCAAAGACGCCTAGAATCATGTCACTGATTAGGCAGCTATAGTGCTGCAGTGCCTCAAAAACAACATTTTGTTCAAGGCAGGATATATAATGACACAGATTCCCTGTCGATATTTCACTGGGAACGATTCCGCAATGCAGCTCCAGCAGCCAACTTGCAATCCACGCCACTTCCAGACTATCTCTGGCAGAGCTAACAATTGAGGCAGAGAGGCTTCTTCTGCCATACTTGGTGGCAATCATGTGAGCAACTTACCAGGCAAGAACCCAAGCGTTGCAAGCTTTCAGAGCATCACAGAACCTGTCTGGCCGGTTCCAATCACTCACCTGGTACATTTCATAGCTCAACTGTCAGTGTCCAGATGTATCCGGACGTATTTGGACGTATAATGGCTGGTATTTCAACGTACCATAGGTAGATCAGAGCATGGTAGATCACACCGGCCACTTTGTTATTACTAGAATGATTACCAGGTAAGCAAAAGTGTCAAGAGAGATAGGATCACAGAAAACCAGAAAACCTGTTCGAAGTAATTGCAAACAACCTGCAATTTGTCTGTTCTCCTACCTATGAAATAAGATTGTTCAAAGCAGTATATTGCTTGGCCTTCTTTAGTTTCTTTCGGGTGAGTGAACTCGTGCAAACCAAACAATCTCAGCCAGGGTGCGCTTTCTTAGCAGTCAAAGACACTACTAAGACAGTAACAGGCACACTAAGGCATTCGAAAACAGACAGGCTGTCACAAAGTATTGTTGTTTCCATTTCTGCAATACCTGACCACAATCTGTGTCCAGTGGTTTCAATTAAAGCATACCTAACACTACGATCGCAGGGTCAGACTCAAGCCTTCGTATACTTTGATAAATCTCCCCTGACCCGGTATCAATTCCAGGCTGTGCTAAAAACGGCACTGGCACAAAGCGGCATCTGCACAGCAGCAGACTCTTCGCATTCCTTCAGGATTGGCACAGCAGCTTGTAATGGAGTGAGTTCAGATTTGATACATCACTTTAGTAGGTGGGGGTCAGAATGTTATAAAAGCTATATACATATACCTACAACGATTTAAATTTCCCAACCGTGCAAGAACAGTTTTCTTCCCATTGATTTGTGTTTTCAGTATGGTTGGTGGGGTCCAGCTTCCTGACCCAGGCAAGGCAGCACCTACAGGACAATAACTTTGGTATCCTGGTGGGATGTCTCTGGTTGGCAAGGGGCAGCATGAGGTGGGAGGAGCTGACCAAGGTGATGGATGCCCAGGTCAACACGGGTAACATGGTGGGTGAACATGAGCGCGAATGGTCGTGGTTGTGGGGAAACACCTTGGTGCTGGTGGCCGGGTGCTGGTGGACTGTATTACAAGTTACATTTGGCATACATCCCAAATTATACAGGATAGGGTTACCCACTTTACAGCAGGAACCAATTTATCCATTCTGCTTCACGGCAAATGGCTTAATGTCAGCTTTACAGCAGATGGTCAGCTTGGCAACAATAGTTGCCCTCGCTCATTATTTGGTAATGGTACTTGGCTGACAGCATAAGCTGCATAGCAACATGGGTTGCTTGGCAACGGTTGCTGTATTGGTAAGCAACATGGGTTGCCTGGCAACGGTTGTTGCAGGGCAGTGGTGGCTACATTGAGGTTCGCTTACAAGAGTTAAGCTCATTTTCTGCAGTCACCAGTACCTCCACATCCACAACCATTTCATCCAAACAACATCTCTTATCTTAATTTCAAGTTCCGCTATCATGCATGATAGCGGAGACCAACCTAATGGGGTCATTTCCTTATAAAATTACAGTGACAAGATCTCTTGACTCTGTCAGGTGTGTGGCTATGTTCCAAATCAAAAGCAATATTCAATAATTTAATATTAATTGCTTATTTTATTCACAATGTAAATTTAGCAGTAACTTCTCTAAATGTTCTTTGAGGAGTACATGTTCGCTGCAAAATCACAAAGAAAACAATGGATTAGGCCATAAAAGGAAACGCCAAATGCTAAACACAAGCACAAGCACAAACACAAGACAAGCTTCATTCTTAGGCCACATGTAAAAAAAAATTCTTTATAGATGTTTTACAGGAAAATACCTGTAGGTAGTTTGGATTATAAAAACAAAACTCTGAAGGAAAAAATCCATTTTAACAGCATTTCTGTTGACGGATCAGTAAAGTAAGTAAAAAAAAGTGTGGCTTTACCATATTGTGAATTCTCAAGGATTAAACCATATATCTACTGACACAAAACCTAATCTAAAACAGGAAATACAATTTGCCTGGTCTTCTGAGAACTTTGAAATTCTTATTCATAGAACTACACTAAACTACTGTCCCTTGGTAGGTTAACACTTACTGTCTGACTGTTGTAAACAAGCACTGAGTAGAATGAAGCAATCTTCCCAGATGGTATCTGCATTATACCCGGTATGTAACAATCAGTGTCATTTGTCAAGTTAATCACACGCACAAGCACATAGTCACCAACCTGCAACAATGAATAAGCATCCTTGTGATCTAACAATCAAATCAAACTGCACATAATTGACCATTATTATGAAATTGATACATGGTAAATGGAACCCTTTTTTTCTGTGAATACAAAATGCCATAAAGAAAGTGGTAAAATGCAAAAAATGTTATATTTAGGACCACACTTTCTTAGTAAAGTATTAATTCTAGTACTTTGGGGGGTTGAGTCCCATCCGGGATTCAGGCATTGTGTATTCATAGTCAAGGGAGCTGTGCCAATTTACACTTGTCAGTGGCTGAGTGGGTGCTGGCAGTTTGGTGCTTGACTCTGAGAGTGTGGGTTCAAATCCCACTCAACCCAAGAAAAGTACCAGAATTTGTACTTTACTAAGAAATATAACACTTGTTCCTCTTTTTTATGTTAGGATTAGGTCTTAAATGTAAATGGATTATAGTCCTAGTGATTGGAAATCCTGTTTGGAGTGATGTTATGTACCTCAAGCAACCTATACTGAACAACAAAAGTTCCTGTGACATTGAATAAGATTTAATGCAAAGTAATGTTTTTTACCAAATCTGAAACAATTTCGGTTTGCAACAGATAAAAGACTCCTGTAAGTGTTCAAATGGTTTAATTTGCCATACTGACTTTTTCATAAAAACATGAACATGCCAAAATGTCAATTTACAAATCAATAGTCCGACTCAAGCAAGCAACACATCTTCGTCTCATGGAATGGACCAGGCGTCGAACAAAGTCCTGTGGGATATCTGTCCATATCTGCTGGAGCATGTTTTGAAGTTCCTGGAGTGTCTGTGGAACACGTGGTTGACGTTGAAGGCGCCGATCCATCTCATCCCACATGTGCTCGATTGGTGAGAGATCAGGGGAGCGAGCCGGCCGGGGTATGACATTCACGTTGTTTTGTTGACGAGAATCCTGAACAAGTCGAGCAAGGCCGGGCATTGTCATGTTGAAAGGTAATGCCTGGGCCATGACAACACAAAAACGGTAGAACAACTGGGCCGATGATCTCGTCGCGGTAGCGCTGTCCATTGGGATTTCCCTCTACCACTATCAAACGGGTCCTCTGTCTTGCTGTAATCCCACCCCAAACCATAACGCTGCCGCCCCGAACCGTTCTTCTCCCATGACATAATGATTGATGTAACGTTCACCTTGACGTCGGTATACTCGAATCCGTCCCTGTTGTGGCTGAGGTGAAAACGAGACTCGTCAGTGAATAGAACTTGTCCCCACTGCATGGCCATCCAGCGTAGACACTGTCTGCACCACTGTAGACGTGCTTGACGGTCGTTTCATGTCATAATGGGACATCTGGTGGGTCTTCTGGCAACAATCCCTGCACATCTGAGGCGACGACGTACGATTTGTGAAGATATTCGTCGAAGGCCAGGGATGCCTCTTGCAGTCACTGTTGCTGGCTGGAATCGATTTCATAGGTGTGTTGTTCGAAACCAGTTGTCTTGTTGATTATTGGTTATGCGTGGCCTGCCACTACGAGGATGGTCTCTGACTGCATTCGTCTGTTGCCAACATTGCCATAAACACCAAACGGTGTTTCTGTGGACGTTAAATTGTGTTGCAACATCACGTTGACTCGATCCTGCTTCAAGCATACCAATGGCTCACAGACGCTCATTTTCAGACAGGTGTGGCATTTTGCAATGTTGAATAATTGCGTAATATTGTTGTTTTTCTGAGTGGTTGTTGTCAGCACGATGCTAAACAATGCATACGGAATCCTGTTAACGCACATGTTTTTATAACCATTCTTGGTTAGTGAAATGCATGGGGCTTGCATAAAAGTCGACTTTTGCATGGAATGCATGCTTTTCTGTAGCAGTTGCGTTTTTGTGACTTGATTCCATACATGTACTACAATATTGAAAACCAGACTTTACTTGTTTGAAATATACACTAAAATATTGGTGTCACAGGAACTTTTGTTGTTGAATATATTTATAGACCTACCCTCAGAGGAGGATTACTAACAGCTCCTCTTGTTGGTAGGATAAACTTTGTACTGATCTTCATGGTCTTCTCATCAAAGTAACGCCTCACTCTAGCATAGTGAGGGTTGGGACAGGCCACAACAACACCTGGGAAAAATCAAATTGGAATATGTTGAAATGAGCAAAGTCTAATTCTCATTAATGTTAAAACTTTCATAGTTTCATCGTCAAATGTTAATTTCACATTTCTTTAATAATACAGATCTTGTGGACAATAACATACATTGTCCTTTTGCCAAAACAGGATTAAAGGTATATAGTGTCTCTTTTGAAAATTGGAAAAGCTTATATGAGTTCCAAGTGTCATGTCTCTAGAAGAATAATACTTTTGAAAAATTCAATCTACCTTCTAATATTATGTGTCATGTTGCCACATTCCTGTCTAAACTATGCAAATAAAAGTCTTTCAATAAGTTCAGTGTGCGCCATTTATATGATACAAAAACAGCAATACCAATCTGCGAGTTATTTCATCTTATCGCTTCCAAGTACAACTCTTAAAACATTGGCAGAGAACATTGTACTATACAGTGCTCCTGTATAATAGACGGTCCCTTGTACCAGTGCACATGCGCAATCAGAACAAGCACCAGATATAATTATAAACACGCCTGTGTTTCAACCTGTTCAATACTTGTTTAGTTATTGTCATTTCACGCTGGTTCTCTCAAGTAAAGTGATCGAACAAATGGAACTCTGTTCTTATTTAATTGGTACCTTCCAGAGGTTTGAACAAAACCATAGGCCCAGCACTGGACAAAATATCATCCATTCCAAACAATCCAAAACTTGGAAATACCACCATTCCAAATGGAAATATGACTATTCCAAAATTTGTCAAGGTCATATTTCCAAGCTTGGATTTGTTTGGATTTGTTTGGATATGTTTGGATACAACATGTCATAATCATATCTGTTAAACGTTGTACAACTTTTGACCTTATGTGAGATTAGTAATGACATGAAAGTAAATAATTAAGAGTATTTTGGCACTATTTACCACGAAAAGACCAAATCATGAGCAAATTTAACTAAAAGAATTTCTGTCATTTAAAGTGGCTTCTCTTTATATTCAATTTCTTATCTTCCTTGTCTATAATCATATGACATTAATTATGAACTTTGAACAATTAAACAAATATTTTGTTTTCCCATACCAACTTACCGTTGTCGTAGAACAAAGACCGTTTCGAGAATAGAGGGCCTCATTATTATAATTTGAACTAATATACATATGTACATAATAGTACTAGGTATAAATGAATTTTGATAAGTGTTCGTACAAGAATATGAACTTCGAATTATCTCGGAATTATGCGCAACACATAGGGCTGGAAACTTTATAATTGGTCTGGACCTATCTGACGGTATTTCAAAACAGGGAACAAGATTTCGTCAAATGAATCATTGAGCCAGGAATGCAACGATTTAAATGCTGACAAAATGAATAAACATATCTGGAACAGAGTAGACTGTTCATGCGGACAATTATATGCCACGTCTATTGCCAATGAAGTTTATCACCCCATGTTATAGCATTTGTTTCATATAAAAGATAGAAGCCAAATAAATGGGACAATTAGTTGTTATGAATTAGCTTTACCTCTGTGACATATTACGCAACTAAAGGTGAATATGTTTATCAAATAATCAATTACAGTAATTAACCTAGTGTCCTTATTTATACAAAATTTTAATTACGTATTGGGGTACAATATATAATACACATATACACGGAATGATTTCTTTTTTCGTCAATTTAATCATAACCCAAATCATACAAATCGAACATGTGAAAATAAAAGTAGTGACTAACTTTATGATCAAGGGTATAAAAACTCAATTGTATCTATTAATCCTAATAGTATAACAATAAATCCTGTGTATTTATTGAGCATATTTAGATACATTCGGATCTACGACCGCAGTCATATAATCAATCAAGGAAAGTATATTAGATTGAATTAAAAATGTGCTATCACTAAAACAAAATTTTCCGTTATCCACGTAAGCCTAAACCTGGGAGAAATAAAGTTCTGGTCTGTTCTGAAGACGCCGTCATGATTAGTTGGCGCCAGTCTAGACTGTCCAATCAACGTGAATATACAAACCGTGATGTTACTTGACCAGTTGATGACACCTGTCAAACTCAAAGTGCCCCTGGTCCTCCACCCACCATGTGTAATACTTTAGCGCACTTGATTGTTTTATTTGCAGTTATATCACTGTTAGGCTGAGTGATGAGAGAAATCATTTTGTTGTTTTTGTTAACGATCGTTTCCATTTTAAACGTGGTAACCTTATAAGTGACTAACTTTTTTATCATGATGAAATGAAAAATATTAAAATAATCAGAGGGACTGACGATCGCATTTTTCGCATAAATGTCATGCTCGCATTAATTTCATGATTTACTGAAGATAGATTTGAACATTTCTGAGCAACGATAATGTTTGGGTAAGGGAAGTTATCTTGTCTCCGCTTGCAAATGGATTCAATCGGGCGAGCAGTTCCGAGATCACAGCTTGACTGTTCGGTACGGCCGAAAGGCGGCATCCATGTTGTTCACGTTCCGCTGATCACGGGGCCTCATTTGTCTGTATTCTGCTTATGAGCCGGGATGCGCATGAAACACGGGTGTCAAAACGAATATATTTACCAATTATATGTACTGTCAATTAGCCAGTTCAAGAGACAATACCCTGATTCTACCACCTTTAGGTGTAATTACGTTGTAAGCCCCTGGTTCAAGGTTCGTCTGATCTCCCGTCATAAAACCACGATGTTTATTTACCTGGAGCCTCAGACAGCGCCGACTTCCTGTGTACATGTACGTACATGGCAATAAATAGTTTGACAGTTGTTTGACGGAATCAGTCAATAATTATTGACACAGTGATGTAATTAAAATTTGTCACTATTGACAACTCCTATTTTGATTTTTCTATTGTTCAGCTGTATTTTCGATCAGTTTTATATGTATAAAAAATCTTCTCTAGTATTTATAAACCAAACCTAAAAACATTATATAAGAAAAATTGTGTGTTTAAAACAACCACGCAAGTAAGATTTCAGCCGTAATATTACTTCACAGATTACACATCTTATATGCTGCAAACGCAGCGAATGTAATGTTACTACGTCACAGCTGCCTCGGTAATTAAGGGCTGGAATGTTTTTGTGAAGGCAGTTAGAGCAGACAAATTTCCCCCCTCGCTGTATAATGACGGTCGCTAACCATATACATGTATTTTTTCGTGTTTTTGGCTTGATTTGATTGTCCTTTGGTGAAAACAAATGTTCAATTGTGAAAGCAAACCCTTTTCCCCAGAACGTTAAAAGACAGGAGACTTTGTTTTTGTCTGAAATATCAACGTTGAAGTCGTTTATATATTCGGAAATCCATATTATGGTAAATATTTATTAAATGCAGATCCTGTTTTGTATATATGTATATATTATTATGTTAATATGGACAATGGTAAAATTCATTATCACAGTTTAAGTGCTATTCATAAATGTATGTAAATCTGCTTCGTGATGAATGAAGCATGGCAATAAATGTATGCATCTGATTCTTCATTTGTTCTGTATTCTTAGATGAGAATGAGTTTCGTTAATGATGATCACTCTCACAGATTATTTGATAAGAGGATAGGACTTTAACTGGAGAATAGTTATGAAAAATAAATATATAAGTATAGGCGGTCTGTGCACATGTGGTGAAACTGATACCTCATTGATTTGATAATCGGGACTTGGAAATCATAGTCTGTCATTAAATTGATTTTAAAATATATGGTTTTGACTGTAGTACGTCCTGACATGATAATATTATGTTGTAAACAACTTATCTTATCTTATGTTAAGTAAAACAATTATTGATAACTTCCTGAATTCCAATTGTTCAATGAACAGAATTATTCAAAGGTCTGGCGTGAGACAACAATAAATTAGATGTTACCAAAGATTGTCCATTTTATGATCTTAGGCACATCTCGGCGCACTTACATGTGAGCCGTCTAGACGACTGTCTGTTTTATATTTAAATGGCAGCTGCCATCCAGCCGAATACTTATAAATCTTGAGACCTATTATTGTCTTGTCGAGTCAAGTGCGGGTCTCTCACTCACTTAAGGAGAATGCGACTGTAAAAGCCCCTCGCTAGACAGACAAGTAGTGAATGTTTGAGATAAGTTTATTATTTATTATATATAGTTTAAACTTAATAGATAATTCATAGTCTTTTTATTGTTCAAATTACTAATAAAACATATTTTAACTTGTTCCTTCTAAACATACTCCCAAACAATTCCAAACCATTCCAAGTCATTCCAAACATTTCCTTTGTTGGAAATATGTTTGGAAATGTTGCCAATCTAATTTTGGATTTTCCGTAAAGATCGATCCTTCAAAGCTTTGGAAAGGTTTGAATGAGCGATCTTTCAAAAGCAATCCAACGTTCATTCCAAATTGGAATGGACGCTCCTTGGTCTTGAGCAGGGTGCATGCATCTTGTGATGGTAATCAGGAGCCACTGGCAGCCACTGTGTATAACACCATCTGCCCAAGAATCTGAGCTCCACTAAGGGGTCCGACTATTTAATGTCCAGGAAGGTCTGGGAGTGTCCGGAAACGTCTGTGATATTTCATCGGATGTCCGTGAGTTTAATAAAAAAGTTAACACTTTAGTAATGGTGGTCCTGCGTTAGGAGAGTAGGATCAATTGCCTTGTTTATACTTCATTGATAAGTGTAATTTAAAATTGAAGAAAATGGATATGAATTATAATAGGGTACATAGGAAATGGATAGTTCCTGGTTTATAGAAATTAATACTTTGATAAGCCCATACTGACCAGCTAACAAAAATTAGTAATGAGTGAAAAATAAGATATATCAAATAAGACCCAATAGAAAGTGAATGAATTTGGAGAATAGACTTCCTGTAAGAAATAATGTTGTACAGAAATAAGAGTGAATATAATGGTACATGTATCAGTGAGAATCAAGAATTTATCAAGAAGAATCGGAGCGGTATGAAGCCATGTTGAGTAGGAGATTTGCAATAAAAATAACCTTGTATGA